AGCAAGGAGCGGGGAGCAGAGGCTGGCTGCGCCTGGCAGGCTCTCCCACAGGGAGGTCTCCCCACGCCAGGGGCTGCCCAGAGACCTCAGCCAGTGCGGCAGCGCTCAGGGTTTCCTAGGAGCCTGGTCTGGGGAACGAGGCCATCAGAGTTTTTCAGGAAGATTCTTAGCCAAACTGTCTCATATCCAACCTGCAGGTTTTCTCCCAGCCAAGCTGGGATTCCAGAAAGGCCTAAGGAAGTGCCAGGCAGCCGGCCCCTCTGGTTTCACATGTGGAGGGAAGCAGGGTTTGCTGCGGAAGGGGCTGGGTGCTGGGTAACCATGTTCTGGGAGGACTGGAGATGCTCTGGGCAGGAGGCAGTGTTTTTATTCATCTTTGTGTCTGGGGTCCCAGCCTGGCGTGGCAGGGGGTGACTGCGGATGACTGAGCCGTGGGCTGGGCTGCAGGGCTGTGTGGCTCTCAGCGCAGTGTGATGACCAGTGCCCTCTGTACCCACAAGAGCCCCTCATGACCAGCCGCTCCAGACCCCGCTCTGCCTGCTGGCTGATGCTTCTGTGCCTTTAATGTCAGTGCCAGCAAGCAGTCTACTGTCCCTCTTCTCCCCTGGTGTCCTGCTGGGACCACCTGCTGCCTGCGTGCCCCAACCTCCCTGCTGTCCCTCTGGCCCCAGAGCGGCAGGAGGCCGAAAGTTGCTCCACTGCAGGCCACCTCTTCCCCTGATTTCAGCCTTGGCTGCCGCCCAGGCCTTCAATGATCTGGTGCCGAGAACTTTGTATTCTGGGGCCAGTGACTTCAGGCTGAGCAACTGGTGGCCAGCAGGCTCCCTTGGCAGAAGCTGCGCTGGGCTCCTGGTGCGGGGTGAGTGCTCTGGGCAGGGCACAGCCGGTCTCCGGGCGCCGGAGTCAGGTGTGGGTCTCAGGTGAGCGCTGTCCATGGGCGCAGGCGTTGTGTGTGCAGGCTGCTGGTCCCAGGAGGCCCACTGAGTCCCCTGCTCTGGCGGGTGCTGAGTGGGGGTGGGGGGAAGGGATGAGAGCAATGCTGCGGGCATAGGTCTAAGGGTGGGGGCATGTGGCTGTGTTGGGGTGAAAGTCCTTGTTGTCCCCTGTGCTCAGCTGGGAAGAAAGGCCGGTGGGAGGCTAGTGGGCTCTGGCTGCTCAGTGGTTCCCAGGGCGACCAGCCAAGGTTGGGGGTGGTGATACCTGATGTTACAGATGAGACGGGGTCTCAGGTGCCCAGCTGGAGACGGCAGAGCCCTGGGGCACACCCAGGTGGGCTGATTCCAGCCTGGGGCTGGGCTGTCCTCTGTCCCACTTGCCCCACTGCCTGACTTCAGCCCAAGGGCCCTGACCTTTCCCTTTCTCTCACTCTGCACCCAACGCCTGGATGGCTCGGGTCACAAGTCCAGCCTGCCTTCTCCCTCGGCAGCAGCACCTGGCCCCATGTGTGTATCGCCGTGAGTGGTGCTGGCCAGCCAAGGGGAGTAAATATTTTATAGGCTCTTGAGAGGTTCTGCAGAGGTTTCCAGGGACCTGCTGCTCCTGGGTCCAGACACGCCTCTGGGAGGGCTTCCCAGCACTGGGTTTGGTTGTTTCTAACCCTGTTGCTAAGTTAATGGGCAAAGTGGCCCCTCACTGTTCTCTTTGGACTGGGTGATACTGGTGAGGCGGGCCTGTTAATGGTGTATGCACCCCTGGCACCTCCTGTTCTGCTGCTGTGTGGGCCTGAAGGAGCCCTTGGCCTCTTCTTGTCCTGGCCTGTGTGGCAGTTTGGGCTCTTTCTTCTCTGCCCTGTCCCTACAGATCCCGCCTGCAGACCAACGCAGAGCAGCCACTTGGTGCCGGGGTGAGGGTGAGATTTGCAGCCCATATATGCTCTCTGTTGTGTGTGCCATCGCCTGCCAGGGCCTGCCTGCCCCCAGCTGCTGGGCCAGAAGAGAATCTCCCCCCACTGGGAAGTTACCCCGGCAGAGCTGCTGGTTGCCTGTCAGGGGGAGCTAACAGGGTGGCATCTGCAGTTCTCGGGGACTTCAGTAAGGAGGGAAGGCCGATGAGTCCAGCCCTGAGCCCCAATTGTGAGCAGGCGCTGCTCCCACACTTCTCTCCTCCATCAGTGTCTTTTCTTATTTTGAAATAATTTCAGACTTACAGAAAAGTTGCAAAAGCAGTACAAACAAATCTTTTCCACCCCTCACCCAATTCCCCCCAATACGGACATTTACCCATGTGTTTCATTATTCTGTTTTCCCTGGGCCATTTGAGTGTAAGTTGCAGGCATGATGCTTCTAAACCTCTAAACACTGAAGTGTTTTCTAAGAATGAGGACACTCCCAGAGCCGCAGCACAGCCGTCAGGAAATGGACATTGGCACAGACTTTATTTAAAGTTTGTCAGGTTCCAATGTCCAACCCAGGATCACACGTGTGTTTCCGTGTTATGTCTCTCTAGTCTCCTTGAACCTGGGAGTTCTTTAGTCTTTATCTCTCATGACCTTTGACATGTTTGTTTTGTGGAAAGGCCCTTAGTCTGGGCTTGCCCCATGCTGTGTCCCTATTAGATCAAACTGTGGTCTGGCAGGAAGCCCTGCAGGACCTCCTGGCCTTCCAGGAGGCACACGATGTCCCTCTCACGTTAGTGATGTTCACCTAGATCCCTGGGCTACTGTGGTGTCCGCCAGGCCTGTCCACTCTGAAATGAATAAGTAAGCGCGCTGTCCCTCATTGCGGAAGCTGAGCTAGAGCCCAGCAAGACCGGCCTCCTGTCTGAGCAGCTGGTGTGACCCAGGGCACACCTCCCACCCAGAGCTGTCCCACCTCCAGCAGTGCCCTGCCTGGTCCTCGCCTCGCTCTGCCTCTTGGAGCTACAGGTCCCCAGAGCACACGCCTCCTGGCTCTCCTCCTTCCTCTGGGGCAGCCCTTCGTCTCCTTGGTTGGTTCATCCTCCTCCTCCAGACTCAGTGTCGGTGGACCAGGGTGCCCACCTACCTCTCGAGTCTGCTCTCTCTTGGCCGATCTACTTCAGGTCCATGGCCTCAAACACCGTCCATTTGCCAGTCACATCCAGGTTTTCTGCCTGCTCTGACCCCTCCTGGGGCCTTCACCACTCCCAGCGGGGCCCGGTTCTCAAGTCCCTGCTGTTACAGGGAAGGGCATTCCTACCCACCCAACATGGAGTCTCCCTTCCCCTCCGCTTCCCCAGCCCTGCCATCCTCCATCGCTCCCACCCAGCCCCGAGGCACTGCGCCTCCTCTCCTCCTCTCTCAGCCCTCGCTGCTCCAATCCAGAGAGCCTCCCGGAGTGCAGCGGGTCACCCCTTCCTCCACCCCGTGGTGCTTGGAGGAGAATGACAGAGGCGAGAGTCCAGCTGAGACCCCGCGGGCACCTTCAGCTCCACCTCACCCCTTGGCCTCCCAGCTCTGGGCCCTGGGTCTGGAGCACGTCCAGCTCATTCTTCCTCGGGGCCTGGGCCAACTCCGTTCCTCCTCTCTGGGCTTTCCCAGTCTGTGTGCGGCCGCCTCCTGTTCCTCCCGCCTCGATGCCTCGTGTGTGCCCCTCTTCGGAAGGCTCGCTTTCACACCCAGCCCCAGTGAGCTCCCTTGCCCACCCTCCCCAGTAATTCACAAAACATTACCTTCGAGGCACCGATCCTGATCTGAAAGACCTTATTTCTGTCTGTCCCCCCTTTTCTCTGTCCCTTTCTCTGGTATACCTGCTAGGAGAGCAGAGGCCGTCACCATATTGTCCTGCCCTGGGCCCGGGCCCGAGCCTGGCACCGAGCCAACGCTCAGCACTCGTCCTGTCTCTTGGTCTGATGGCTTCCCTCTTCTGCTTTATTTTCCACTTACCTTCTTTTTTCCTTCCTGTTTGGTCTTTTTCCCCTTCTCCATTTCATTGGCCATAAGACACTGAGGTTTTTCAATATCTACTTTATTAAATATATTTGTATGTTCCTTACTTAGAACAAATGGTTGAGTCAAGCATTTTAAACTTTACTGAGAAATAAATCACATGGTTAGCTAGACACAGGCTGTGGGGGAGGGCGAAGGACTGAGTGCCGGGCTGGCTGGACAGCTGGCTGACTTTGAACACATCTTTTTAAACTCTGGCCCTTGGTTTTCTTCATTTGTGAAACCAGGGGATGGCTGACCTCTGAAGATGTTCTCATTCTGGGAACACATTGCCCTCAGTTGGTTTTTAAAAAATCCTTTTTATTGTGGTAAAATATATATAACAGGATTTGCCATATTAACCGTGTGTAAGTGTACAGTTTGGTGGCATTAAGTCCGTCCACACTGTTGTGCACTGTCACCACCATCCATCTCCAGAGCTTTGTCATCGTCCCCAACATACACTTTGTCCCCATGAAACCCTAACTCCGCCCCCTCCCGAGCCCCATCCCCAGCCCTCCCACTGTCTGTATGAACTCGAGTGGATCCACAGACTTTGTCTCTTTGTGACCGGCCAGCTTACTTGCCCTCGGCTGACTCGTTACTAACGTGTCAGAGGCCCTCGGTGAAGGGAAGGCTCCGTGTGAAGAATCTGCGCTTTCCCTGCGCAGAGGCTGTGCTTCCTGCGGGCGCACATGGGTGTGGCTCCCCGGCCCATTGCTGCCCTCACTGTCCGGCCGGATGGAGCCCTGCGGGAGGAACCGCACTGGCTTGTGTGGCGGGAGGTCCTCAGATCTGGGCTGCGCAGCCGGCGAGAGCACTGAAAGGGACATTGCCAGGGGCACGCACGCTCGCAGCACTCCTTGGTCACGCAGGGCCTGGCTGGCCTGGAAGCTGCTTTAAGAGCTTGGCGTGTTGGAAACGCCACAGTGAGCTAGGGGAGTTTGGGTCCGTTGGGTTTGGATGTGCTCCCCTCCCTGTGGCCGGTCAGCCCTCAGGGAATGAGGGGGTGCTGGCGCTGGCTTTCCCCCAGGCTGCAGTGGCTGCGGTGGTCCTTCACTCGTGTGGGGTCCCTCCACTCCGAGGCCGCTCCACTCCGGCTCTGACTCCTCCCCAGATGCTGAGGCTCAGAACCATGTGCGGGAGCCTGAAGCTCCTGGGCATCCGCCGCACCTCCACCGCCCCCGCCGCCTCCCCGAACGTCCGGCGCCTGGAGTACAAGCCCATCAAGAAAGTCATGGTGGCCAACAGAGGTGAGCACTGGGCCCAGGGAGAAGAGCCGCCTCCACCCAGCGCCCACCTCACGTGGCATCTGCTTCTCTGAGGAGCCGGGAATCTAACCTCTCCCCCGTGCCCCGCCCGCAGGTGAGATAGCCATCCGCGTGTTCCGGGCCTGCACGGAGCTGGGCATCCGCACGGTGGCCGTGTACTCGGAGCAGGACACGGGCCAGATGCACCGGCAGAAAGCGGATGAAGCCTACCTCATCGGCCGTGGCCTCGCCCCCGTGCAGGCCTACCTGCACATCCCAGACATCATCAAGGTGGCCAAGGTGAGGCAGGCCGGGCAGGGGCCTTTAAGGGTCCTGTGCCATCCCCACGCTGTGCCCCATCGCCATGCCAGCCAGCAGTTAAGTGTCTGGACGGGTGGGTGGGGGATGGAGAGATGAATGAATGAAGCAAGTGAGGTGGTTTGGTCGGGGGGGTGGGGGGGCCTGAAGGAATCGAGGGGCACACCACTCTTCTGCCCCCAGGAAAACAACGTGGATGCGGTACACCCTGGCTATGGGTTCCTGTCGGAGCGTGCGGACTTTGCCCAAGCTTGCCAGGATGCCGGGGTCCGGTTCATCGGACCGAGCCCGGAGGTGGTCCGAAAGATGGGAGATAAGGTGGAGGCCCGGGCCATCGCCATCGCCGCAGGTGACCTGGCCAGCCCGCCTCGGGCCTGCAGCTCCCCCGGGGCGGGGACGGGTGGGTTTTCAGAGATTCAGGTTTGTGACAAAGCCCCACATGCCTGTTTCTCCACAGGTGTCCCCGTGGTCCCTGGCACTAACGCTCCTGTCACTTCCCTGCACGAGGCCCAGGAGTTCTCCAACACCTACGGCTTCCCCATCATCTTCAAGGCCGCCTACGGGGGCGGGGGCCGCGGCATGAGGGTGGTGCACAGCTACGAGGTGAGCAGGCGCCAGGGCTGGGAGGCCGCCGCACCGCCTGCCGGCTCCGGGAGTGGGTCGGGGTCACGCAGAGGGGCCCGGTGTCTGCTCAGTCTCTGCCCGCCCCCAGGAACTGGAGGAGAACTACACCCGGGCCTACTCCGAGGCTCTGGCCGCCTTCGGGAACGGGGCGCTGTTTGTGGAGAAGTTCATCGAGAGGCCACGCCACATCGAGGTGCAGATCCTGGGTGAGTGGGGGTCCCGGGCCGCAGAGCCTTGGGGACGGGGCCGGGCTCTCCCTCAGGAAGACGCTCCCCGTGCAGGTCAGGGCCCAGGCCTCGGGCGGCCGGTCCTCCCTGGCTGCCCAGCACTGGAGCGGGCAGTGCTGGCCTCCTAGTGTGAGGCTGTCAGGCCTGTAGGAGGTGTGCCTTCCCACAGGGGACCAGTACGGGAACATCCTGCACCTGTACGAGCGGGACTGCTCCATCCAGCGGCGGCACCAGAAGGTGGTGGAGATCGCCCCTGCTGCCCACCTGGACCCTCTGCTTCGGACCCGGCTCACCAGCGACTCTGTCAAACTTGCTAAGCAGGTGAATGGGGGCTCCTGGGGACCGTTGCCCACATAGAGACAGGAGCCTGTTCCTGCAGGTGTGCTCATGGCCAGTGGTCATCGGGGTCCAGTCGTGGATAGTCTGCTGGGAGCAGGGAACCCAGGGTGACAGCTCTGGGAGGGAGGGACTCTGCTGGAGGTCAGAGGCCAATGAGGAGTCCTTGAGGTATCAGAGGACAGGCCCAGAGACCAAGCCTGGAGTCCAGCAAGGAGAAGGAGGAGGGAGAGGCCTCGGACAGCCCTCTGCACCCTGTGCCCAGATGGAACTCCTGCGTGGCATCAACTTACCCCTGGAGCTGCAGGAGTGAGGTTCAGGGACTCTGCCAGGATTAAGACACGTTCCTGAGGCATTTCTTCCTCACTTACCGGCCCCTGCATCACAGTCCTGTAGCCCTTTTCTCCTGAGGTCCCTCTGCCCGTCTTGGCTCTGCTGGGGCGTGGACGGGGAGTGCTCCCCAGCAGCGGCCTGCCCCTGAGCCTGGCTCGAGAGAGCACCTGCCATGGCCAGACGGCTCACAGCCGCCTGCTCTCTCTTCTTCTGGGCCCTCCTGGCCCCGCCCCCTCAGAGTCCAGGCATCCTGCCCCCAGATCTGCCTCCGCTTCCCAGAGCCCCGGCAGAGCATCTTTCAGATCTGCGTGTCCCCCCCCCCCCCCCCCCCGCAATCCCACGCGGGCCCTGGTCCGGCTCTCCTTCAGAGCCACACTCCCCGGGCCTCAGGCAGCCGGACCCAGGCAGATGGTGGTCACCTTCCCCAGGCCAAAGCCAGGTCAGCACCGCAGTGAGGCTTTCGCCACGGCGACTGGGAGGCAGTGTAAGAGGGGTGTCTACCTCGATTTACTATCATCATCATCATCATCATTGTTGTTGTTATTCTCAGAACAGATTTGAGGGAGCTTACTGAAGTCTAGTTTGTGGTTGGGGAAGTTTAGAGTGAAACTGGAATTGGTTGAATTTTGAGTTAGTCATCATTGGTTGGTTTCTCTCAAATAGCATCTCTTTGGGTAGTGACCGGAGGTGATGACCGAGCGAAGATTGAGGGTCCAGCAGAGGCCGGGGTACACATGGGTGGGCCTGTGCCCGAGAGCAGAGAGGCTGCCGGGGAGAGGGCGGCCCCCGGGGGCAGGGGAGCTGTTGCTGTCTGGCCCAGATAGTGGGAGTGCAGCCCTGAGGCTGCTGGGGGCTCCCGGAGCCGTCCAGGCAGGGCCCCGCATGCCGTTGGGAGCGTCCATCCCCAGCGGCAGGCTGGGCAGGCACGCTGCAGTCTGTCTTTATGGAACCAAAGGGCAAGGTGCTCATCGCCACGCCTGCTTACACACGTGCCGCCCACAGGTGGGCTACGAGAACGCGGGCACCGTGGAGTTCCTGGTGGACAAGCACGGCAAACACTTCTTCATTGAGGTCAACTCCCGCCTGCAGGTGGAGCACACGGTCACCGAGGAGATCACCGAGTGAGCGGCCGGGGAGGGGCCGGGGCCGGGGCCGGGGCAGGGTGTCCTCCGGGTTTCGTGGGAAATCCACTCCGGTGGCTGCTGGGAGCAGGTGGCAGGGAGCTCAGCTCACTCTCCATTGGGATCTAGGTAACTTTATAAATATGATAATAACAGCATTACGGGTGATTATATTAGTACAAAGCAGCAAAAGAAATGAGTTAGAGCCCCACCCTCAGGACTGGATGCTGAGAGGCTCCCAAGCTGTAAGACACAACCACACGGGGGGAAAGTGTCGATCGTCCCCATCTTTTAGATGAAGCCGAGGCTCAGAGAGGTTAAGAGAGTGGCCCCAGGTCACACAGCTGAGACTGGAAACCCAGGCTTAAGTCTGTTAGAAAGAATTGATTTCTTTCCATCTTTATTTCCTTTACTATGTAAGTAGTTTGGTACAATGGCAATGTTTTGCATAGGATTTTTATTCTACTTTTTAAATTCAATATTTTTGAAGACATTTCTCCAGACCATTGGCTTTCTGAATACTTTTAGTGGCTGCACGCTATTCTGTCATCTGTGTGAGTCATGACTTGTTTGCACAGTCCTCTGTGACTAGTGAGGTGTTTCCAGCTCTGTGGTTAAGGGTGTGTCAGTAAACCTTTATGCCCACATCTCTGACTACCCCTCTGAAGAGGTCCAGGATTGGCACTTTTAGTGGCGTTACCTGAGCAGAGGTTAAGGAACATCTCGCCTAATTAGCTTTCTCGATTGCTTGTCCCAATTTGTTCGCCCAAAGCATAGAGTATAAACATTTAAAAAAAAAAAAAACGTGTCCACTTTATAAACAAAATAATCTTTCATTGTTTCAAGATACAGATTTTGAGCCATTTACATGTTAAGGCTGGCTTGGAGCGAGACCATCTCGCTATAGAACTTTCCTGACAGTTTCTCCCAAACCCTGCCTCCGTCTGGGTCTGAGGAAGCTGTGAGGTGGGGAGGGGGCCCTGCCTTTGCCCAGCAGGCATACAGAGCCCCCAGGTCTCCTTGTTCTCTGAGAGAAGACTGAACGGAGACTGACTCAAGCTCAGACTTTGGCCCCACACGACTTACCCTATCGCGCTGCCTGCTCTGCCAGGAGGGGGGTTTGTGTCAGACAGACAGGGCTGTGTGCAGGTTCCCCCGCTCACTAGCTGCACGGAGCTCGGGAGCTGCAGGCTCCCACTCGGCTCCCCTCTGATAACAATGACGCTCAGAGCGCTGTTGTGGAGATACAGCTGGAAGCGCACACCATTCCACCGCACGCAGATGTGGGGACACAGGTGACATCGCCACGCTGTGGGTGACTGAGCCGGAAACAGAGCTGGGAGCGCCTGCCAGGGCCGTTCCCAGGCTGTCCTCACCGCAGCCTCCGTGACAGATGTACATACAGGTTTCTAAGCAGCTGCTCCGCGTGACTCCTCGCTGTCCTCAGCAGCGTAGCCACCAGGGAGGCTGTTATCACTGCGCTTGGACAGCTCTGCTCTGTGGTCAGGGCCAGAGGGTGGCGTCCTGCCCACCGCACCCACCTGTGGGGACCCTCCTACAGCTGTGGTCCCATCCCAAGGAGCCTGCCCTCACAACCCCATTCTCTTGAAACTGCCCAGCACCCCACACACACGACTCCAAGAGCAGGTGTCTGAGGCTTCACATCCACGCTTGACCAAGGGGGAGTTTGGGGGCCGAGAGAGACAGGGAGAAAGGAGGGGAGTGTGGGGGTGCAAGGACAGGTGGATGCAGAGTTCAGCTGCCCCTCCAGCTGCCCGTTCCCCTCATTGAGGATGTCAGAGTAATGGGCACAGGGCAGGGCGCTGGGCAGGCGGAGGAGCAGCTGGTGAAGATCTGGAGGAGCTGGGTGGGCTGCGTCGGTGTGTGCACTGCCGCCTCGTCCAGCCCCTGCCTCATGCTCCCCTCTCGGCGCTGTCCCTTCCCTGCAGTGTGGACCTGGTCCACGCCCAGATCCACGTGACCGAGGGCCGGAGTCTGCCCGACCTGGGTCTGCGGCAGGAGAACATACGCATCAACGGCTGTGCCATCCAGTGCCGCGTCACCACCGAGGACCCAGCCCGCAGCTTCCAGCCAGATACCGGCCGCATCGAGGTAGCGTCCACATTCTGACGTTCCGACCGAGCAGCCGCGGGTCTCTGCCTGTGTAAGGACTGTGGCCAGACTGCTCGGAGGGCACGGAGTGAGGGAGCTCCTCTCGTGGGCTGGTCCGAGTCCGGCTGAGTACACGGGAGCCAGGCCTGGTCCGAGAGGCAGGCAGGAGCACCCTGGGGAGGGCTGCCATGCCACAGGCTGGTAAGCCAGTGGGCGGGTCATCAGAACGGAGCGGAGCAGCTGGTGGAGCCGAAGGCAGGGTCCCCAAAGGAGGCCCAGGTCCTGGCCTGTTCTAAGAGCCCAAACACAGCGGTGCTGCTGGCCACTGGCCTGCCTTCAGGGGGGTGTGGCTGGCAAGACAGCACTCGGGGTGCAGTGAAGGATTGGGGCCAAGCTGAGCAAGGGGACCATGGAGGATAAATGAGAGCGTTGGGGAAATGGCGGGGGGGCAGGGAGGAGGCCGAGAGGCAGACTCTTCATGGGAAGTTGAGGAGGGCCCGGGCAGGCACCCCAAATCTGGACCTGCACCTCCTCCAGGGACGCTTCCTGTGCCTTCTTTCTCCTCACATAGAAAGCCATCTCTCACCCCTGCCCTCTTGGCCTACCTTCCCTGGCTGAGGGCAGGAGCCTCTGGCCTGCTCGGAGCCTGTCCCCTGTCCCGCCCATGCTGGCTAGGAATTCCTCTGGGTCCTGGTGCTCTAAGGCCTCCCACGGCCTCCCCTCCCCGGAGCAGGAACTCGGACTGCTCCTGCGCAGCGGGGAGGGCGAGGGGAGTCTGAGATGCTGGGCTTCTGACACACGGACGGATCAGGGCAGGGCCTGAAAGTCGCATAGAGCTGGTAGGCTCAGGCCAGAGCGCTGGCCAGCCTGCTCTGCCCTCGGCCCGGAAAGGGCAGCCCTGCCCTGGACGCTGCCTCCCTCCGCCTTCCTTCCCAGGCCTGGCTCCTCCGAGCCTGGTTTACCACAGAATATTTTTAGCTCTCAGTTCCTGCTCACAGCTGAGTGTTCACCTTTAAATATTTTATTAAGTTCCTTTTTATCAAACACAGGCCCTGTCCCTTTTAAGTGGAAGCAGGGTGCAGTGGGGCTCCCTCCTGCCACTCATTTTCCTTACATGTGCCTCACAGGGTGTCCCCACCCCGTCATGGACTGCATGTGTGTGCTGCAGTTACTCCAGGCACCCCAACCCTCTGTCCCCCACCCTGGGTCCCTGTCCATTAGACTGTTTGGAGCCCCTATGGGTGTCTCCGGGCGGCCTCTCTGGCCCAGGGCGCTCCCGCTGCTCCCCTGTGGGAACCGGCAGAATGAAGCAGAACGTGGCACCCAGAGCTGGGGTCCCTCGTGCATCTTGTCCCGCTGGGGCCCGGGCCGCACCTTCACTCGGGCTCCTGACCGCTCCTGGCCCCGCTCTTCTCCCTGCAGGTGTTCCGGAGCGGAGAGGGCATGGGCATCCGCCTGGATAACGCTTCCGCCTTCCAGGGAGCCGTCATCTCCCCCCACTACGACTCCCTGCTGGTCAAGGTCATCGCCCACGGCAAAGACCACCTCACAGCCGCCACCAAGATGAGCAGAGCCCTGGCTGAGTTCCGAGTCCGAGGTGTGAAGGTGAGAGGCTGCGGGCCTGTCTGCCTCCGCTCGCTCCCGGCGTCCCGCCCCTCCTGTCACTGCACGTGGACGCTCCCGGGGGCGCTCGGGCACTGCTCTGCCTGCACTCCGCTCCCCGGGAGGGAGTCGGCCTTGTTCTGTGGCCCCACCCGCCTCCTGCCCCTCCTGGGGAGGTCACCTGGTGTGTGTGAGTCACCTTCTACCTGGCCTCCCTGCTGAAAGCCTGGGCCCACGTTTGGGCAGGGACCTCGGAGCCAGTTCTGAGCAGTGGTGGTGCCTCAGGGACACCAAGCAGGGAGGCTGCAGCCAGAGGTGTGAGCACAGGGCAGGGGGGCTCTCTCTGGTGGCTGGGCAGGGGCCGAAATGCCCACTGGCCTCTTGGTGGGATCCTTCTCGGAGTCTGTAGCTAGAGCTGAAATCACAGGCAAGTGCTGTCTGTCCTTGAGGTCAGGCACTGCCCCGGAGACGGCAGGACAGGGCTCTGTGAGCAGATCTAAGCGCCCGGTCTCCCTGTGAGGGCCCAGACAGCTCCACCCGCCCTCCTCCCGGGCTCCCAAAGGCTGGCCACTCACCGCAGAGGGCACCCAGGGGAGCAGGGGAACTGAGGTGCTGGCTGGCCCTCCCTTCGCATCTCCTCAGCTCTCCCAGCCCCACCTGTGGTGGTGGGGGGCGGGGGTCGCCCTGCGTCACTTCTCTCACCCTGGGAAAAGCACGCGGAGGGAAGAGGGAGCGAGTCTGCCTGGCGTCTCCTCAGCTGACAGGGAGCAGGTTCCCTGGGTGCTGGGCGGGGGAGAGGGGGGTAGCAGGAAGAGAGGGGGTCGCAGGGGGGGTAGAGGGGGTAGCGGTGGGAGGTAGCGGTGGGAAGGGTAGCGAGGGGAGGGGGGTTAGCAGGGGGGAGGGGGTAGTGGGAGAGGGGGGGGGCGGGGGGGAGGGGATGTAGCGGAGGAGAGGAGTGTTAGAGGGGGGAGAGGGGGTAGCAGGAAGAGAGGTGGTCGCGGGGGCTCTGCGCTTCTCTGTGAGGTGCCTCAGGGTTCCTGGTCCAGGGCCGTTTCGTGACATCATGCGCTCACTTTCTCACCAAGGGAGGGAGCCTGGTTTTCTAGGCATGATGTCCTGAGCTGCCTCTGGCTCCAGGTGGCCAGTGCTCACCGTGACCCCAGTGGGTGACCCTGCTACCCCACCCCTCACCTGCCTGAGCCATAGGACCACCTGCCCTTCGTTCTGGAGGCCCCAGTACCTGAGAGCCCTGGAGGTGGAGCAGGAGGTGGAGCAGGAGGACCGGGGCCGTGAGAGAAGGCGGAGGTCAGGGCAGGACACGGGTTTCTGGTTCCGGGGCACCGGTATCCACTGGTGCACCCAGGCCTGGCACGGCTCCTGCCACGCCTCGAGCCTCCGCCTGCCTGGTCTCTGTCCGGGCCTGGCAGGCTCAGCTCCCTTCTCCTCTCTGCTGAGAACCTTGTTTGTTTACTTAAAGCAGGGCCGCTCTGGGGATCCATCCAGGTATGTGTTCTGGGCTGGGAGGGCAGGCATGTGCGTCACCTCTGCGCAAACCCACACTGTGTGAGCTTGGCCTGCACACGTGTGTGCACACACCTTACTGTGCCAGCTCTGAGCAGGCTGCTCGTCAGGAACGCCATGGCTCACACAAAATGGACACGTACCCCGGCACCACTGCGGGTCCTGGGGACCAGCCGCCCTTCGTGGTGGCCCGGGCACCTGCACCTGCTTGAAGCCTTGGGCGGCCTGGCGCGGGCGGAGCAGCGAGGCGCCTGCGGTGTTTGTGCTCGGACCGTTCCGCCCACCGACACCCAGGAGCAGCCATTGTTCGGGTGGCCGGCAGGGCTGTGCCTGGGCCGGAGGAAGCAAACCCAGGCAGCCATGGGGGCCTGCGGCTCCTCAGCTGGGGCTGGAGCAGGGCTTGGCCTGGCAGGCATGGGGCACCTGTGTCCCCGGGGAGGTGTGACGCAGGTTCTCCAGCCCGGCCCAGCAGAGCCTGGCTGTCAGTGGAGTAGCGGGGGGTGGGCTCAGGCCTGCAGCACTGGCGGGCACCTTCCCGAGGGTGTGGGCAGTGAGGGTCCACCCCTCCCCCCCCCAGTTCCTTTGGGATGGCGCGCTGCAAACCCCGGGCGATGGAGAGTAAGACACAGGCCACAGGGACTTCCTCACTGAGCTGGTGGCGATGTGCAAGCCCAAGTGGCTCTGCCCTGCAGGGCTGTGCCGTCTCCCTCCTGCTCCTGTGGCCACTCTGTGCCCTGTAACATCCCTTCACCGTGAGGCTGGCACAGCCTGTCCACATGCTTACAGCGGCAACAGAGGGCTCAGCGTCCAGTCCGCAGGGCGCCAGGGGCCTGGCTGGGCTCACCGAGGTAGAGCCACCAGCCCGGAAACGGCCTGGGTGAAGAGGAGGCACCTACATCTGCTTGGGCCCCCTCTGTGGACGGCAGTCCCACCCTGTCCTGTCTGTGCCTCCACTGGCCCACACGGCCCCTCTCCCTCAGGATGACACCGAGACTAGCACTGAGGTGTCCCCAACAATTTTATTATAAAGAGAAACAAGACTCCCACCTGGTGGCTGCAGCCCTGCCTCAGTGGCTGTGAGCACCTGTCAGAGGCCTGTCCCCTTATGCCTGTCCGAGGCCAGAACCAGGGAAAGGGCCCCCGTCCTGCCAAGCACAAGGGGCCTGAGGTACCGAGGGGGAAGGCGAGAGGAATTCCCAGGCAGTGCTGACCACCCAGGCCAGGTGGCTGCCTGCCCCCACCCTCCACCCCGGCTGACGCCCTACCCATCACACCACACTCTCTTCCAGCCGTTCTGCACTGCCCCCCATGCCCTGGCAGCCTGCCCCCAGCAGTCCTCCGTGCACAGAGTGGCTCCGTCGGGCCCAGGCCCCACCTAGGCGCCTGGCATAACCATAGCACCCGCCCGTGTCTCCCAGGTCCAGGGAGCAGCTGCGCTGGGGGCGAGGCGGGGGGCTCCGCGGCGGGTGGGTCTTGGGTGTGGGGCTGGGGCCTCCGTTGGTCTGGGATTGGACGTGGCTGAGCTTCAGGGGGAGGCGGCCGTTCCCAGCCCCCCGGCCCCGAACCAGCAAGGCCACAGTGAAGACCAGTAAGGCAGCCACGAGGACGCCCCCCACGGCCACAGTCAGGGTCCCGCCCAGCATGTGGGCCTGTGGGGCGTGGCACAGGGGCATGGCCGGCAGCGTGGAGAAGTGGGCGCAGCCCAGCAGCTTGGTGGACGTGAGGTCAGAAGGCCCGGCGGCAGGTGACAGGGCCAGCAGGCAGAGGTCATAGTCGGCACCAGGGATCAGGTGCTTCAGCAGGAAGTGGTGGCTGGAGGCTGGGACGATCCTACAGGCAAGGTCTGGAGGTCAGAGCCAGGGCCTTGGGGTCCAGGCCCCAGCCCCACCCCACATGGCCTTGAAGCCCCCTTCACCGCCCATCCCCCACCACCCTGGGTTCCCAGGTCCCAGCTCTGAGCACCCTCTTCTCCTGGGACCACAAAGGCCGGTGTGTTCACTCAAGAAGATGGAGAAACCAAGACAGGCATGCATATGTATGCGCGTGTGTGTGTGTATGGGTGTGTGTGTATGTGTGTATGTGTGTGTGTGTGTGTGTGTGTGTGTGTGCGCGCGCGCGCACGCACGGCACTGGAGACAGTGCAGGGGGGCAGATAGTGTGTGCCCTGACACACAGGCCCAGCACAGCTAAGGAGGGCTGAGAATCACATCACATCGCCAGCGATAACGTGTGTGGGGCTGGCCACATGTTCAATCACACACCAGCCTGGAGGCCTCCTGTGGCTCAGCCACATGGGAGAGATCTGGGGGGCACTGCCCACCTCCCACTTGTTCCTGGTCCCTGACACTCCCCCTCCTTCCCCTCCCCCAGCCAAGATCCCAGGCAGCTCAGACGCCGAGGAGGGGGGTGTGGAAGCCCTAGGACAGAGGAGGAGCCGAGAGTGGCCCAGCCTGGAGGGGTGGGGCGAGGCGCCCGCAGCGGTTCTCACCGGTAGATGAGGGTCTCGTCCTCGCTGCTGTTGTACTGGATTTGGAACATCCACACGGGGTCTGCTGGCCGCCCAGGCCCCCAGCTCACCAGCCCTGAGGTGGCGGTCACCTCTGTCACCTGCACAGTTGGCTCAGTCTCTAGTGCCCCCTCGCCCTCGGCAGCAGTGCGGGCCGAGGCAGCAATGTCCGAGGGCCCGGGGCGGCCCCCCTCGGCACTGCCGTTCCCACCGTGAGGCAAGGCCAGCACCCGGAGCTCCACGTGGGCTGTGGCTTCACCGGCAGGGTTGGTAGCAATGCAGGTGTAGTCCCCGGCGTCCCCAGAGCCGGTCACCCCAATCTCCAGGGTCCCGTTGGGGAAAGCCCGGGCGCGGGAGGAGTTGCCGACCAGCCGGTCATCAGGGCCAACCCAGTGCATGGTGGGCGCAGGGTCTCCGAGGGCCCGGCACCGCAGCGTGGCCCGCTGGCCCTCCAGCACCCAGAGGCGCTGCGTGTGGCGGGCGATGAGGGGCGGCTCGCAGGAGAACTCGCCCTCGGGCACTGCCCAGAAGTAGCGGCCGGCCAGGCCTGGCGGGGAGGCGCACGTCTCCAGGTCGTCCGGCCGGGCCAGCCGCCGCAGCCACAGCAGCTCACAGTTGCAGTGCAGGGGGTTCCCGCTGAAGCTCAGCACCAGGGGGGCCGGCGAGGCCTCGGAGTCGCGCCCCCGGGAGAAGAGGGGGTCGGGTGCCAACGTGGCCAGGCGGTTGGAGGTGAGGTCAAGGCGGGAGAGCTGGCTCAGTTGGGCAAAGGCGCCCGGAGGCAGCACGTCTATGACGTTGTGGTCCAGGTTGAGGGTGTGCAGGGCAGGCATGGCGCCGATGCCGGCCCAGGGCACCTGGCGCAGGTTGTTGTAGGACAGGTCCAGGTCCTCCAGGCTGTCCAGGAAGTCATCGAAGGCCCCCGGTGCGATGCGGCCCAGCTGGTTGCCACTCAGGATGAGGTGCTGCAGGTTGACGGGGCCCCGCAGGCTGCCGGTGCCCAGCTCCACCAGCCGGTTGCCATCCAGGTGCAGGGAGCGCAGGCTCTCCAGGTCCCCAAAGGCGCGGGCCCCGATGCGGGTGATGGCGTTGCGGGACAGCGTCAGGTCCACCAGCCCCGTCATGTTCCGGAAGTCTGGTGGCCCCAGAGCCTGGATGAAGTTATCGGCCAGCCGCAGCTCCACCGTCCGCCGGTCCACATTGGGCGGCACGAACAGCAGGCCTCGGTGGGCACAAAGGGTGCTGAGCGACTCGGACAGGTTCTGGCAGACGCAGGGCAGTGGGCAGGCGGCCGCTCCGCTGGCCAGCAGCAGCAGCAGGAGCGGTGGGGCCATGGTGAGTGCCCTGTAGGGAAGGGCCAAGGCCCAGGCACAGGTGGGGCTGGTGCAGGTGCCTAGGCCCAGTCCCAGGAGCCAGCTTCCAGAGCCTGGCCTGGGGGCGGGGGCGGTAGGAGGGGAAGTCAGTCAAAGGCCCAAGGGGCCCCTCGGGATGAGGGAGGGCTGGGGCCTGCAGGGCCAGCCTCCTAGAGCACAGGCCACATCTCCCAGCAATGAAGGGGAGCACAGGCTCTGGGACAGGTGAGGCCGGAGGCAGGAAGCAGAGGGGGGCTTGAGAGCAGGGAGGATCCCGAACTTCCTTTCCCTGGCGTCCCTGAAATCGTCAGCACCCCCACTACCCCGCCATCTCCTCCCGCACCAGGAAAGCCACCCCCAAAACCCCTCCCAGGTGCACTTCCCTCCCAAGCTAGCCCCACGCTGTGTCCCGAGGAGGGGGTGCTCACCTGGTATCTGTAGTTCACGGGGCACAGGCCGGCCTCCCTGCGGGTCCGGCCGGCCCCCAACTCCAGGCAGCTCTCCCGCGGGGGTAAGGCCTGGGGCTGACCAGCCGCCCACCGATCGCTCTCCGGCCCATGGCGCTCGGGCCCGGCCCGGGGCCCGGCTCAGTCCGTTCCGGCACCTTTTCCCGGCCCGGCTATGCTCGTGGCGGTGGCGACCAGCAGGCGAGTGCGCGCTGGCGAGTACGCGCGCGCCGCGGACACGCACGTGGAGGGCGGACAGGGAGGGGTGCACAGGGACCCACCCTGGGCCGGCTCCTGAGGTCACAGGGACACGCGCCCACGGGTGGCTCCAGGTCACACCCGAGGCCCAGGCCGGCTCCGGCCCTCCGCACAGCGCTCCGGTCCTGCCGCAGCGCACTCACCCCGGCACAGGCGCGCGCCCCCGGACACCCTGGCGCCCCGGCATCCTCACTGCACGGGCGCCCGCCGCCGCCGCTGCTGCTGCGCAAACCGTCACTCCGCAGCCAGGCAGACAAAGCGCCAGCTCGCGGGCCCCTTCACCCCCTCCCGGAGACGGCGATGGGAGTCTTTGTTACATGCCGCTGGGCACCGTCCCCAGCACACCCACACATGCCCACGCACCCACGTCCCCGCACCCACAGGCAGGCCGGGCGCAAACCCGCGCTGTTGCTGGGACCCTCGCATTCACAGATACACGCTGAAGGTCACAGCCGTTCTGCATCACCAAGTCACGTGGAGGGTCCCCAACACGCACGGGGCCCGGAGGGGGGGCTGGGACGACGCCCCCGCCGGGCTGCTTCAGGGTGGGGCCGAGAGGGCTTGGTCTCCGGGCTGGCGCCGCGCCCCGTTGCCTGCCCTCCCCTCCCCGCCTGCCCAGCAAGCTCGGGAGCCAACCGGTGTGCGCCTCGGGCCCGATTGGTCGGCCGGCTCGGTTTCCCAGCAGGCAGGCGGAGGCTCGCCGTTTGAAGCTGTGCCGGCCCACCGCCCGCCTTCCCCTCTGAGCCCCGAGAACACCCCTCGGCCCCTAGGAAGCAGGCTGGCAGGAGGGAAGGGGCAGGGGACCCAGGCCGCCTGAGGACTAGGAGATACCAGGGAAGGGGTGACTTTCTCAACTGGGGGGACCATTACAAAGGACCAGGGTGCTGGACCGGATTCAGATCCCTCCACGCTCCGCCCAAGCTTAGCTGTCAAAGGCTTGGAAGCTGGGGTCTCCCCATCCCCAACAGAAGCCTCTTCTAGCCTAAGCAGAGTCAGTCCTGGGAGAGGGAACCGTATGGGGCTCCATGACAGCCCTGAAGACTCCATCCTGCAGGAGCGGAAGCAGCCCCCAGTGGCTACTGGGGAGGAGGAGGAGGGCAAGGTGTCTGGGAAACGCAGGAGTGTGTGTGCAATAGCCATCAGCAGAGAAGGGCGTGACTGCCACTGGGTTTACCACAAAGAGGGACCTCGGTGTGAATTCACTGGGAGGGGGTGTGTGTGGGAGGGAGGACCCTCTTTCAAGAAGCCTGACTGGGAGGGCAGGAGGGTGCTCCCACCTGCTGTGGGAGGTGCTGGTTTTCTGAGCGGGAGGTGGTGGCAGCTGGCACTTGCTCTGAGGTGAGCGAGGAGGGAGAAGTGGGCTCAGCCTCCTGCAGCTTCGGGGACCTTGCCGGAAGGTGGTGGGGTGGTGAGAGGGAGAAATGCCACTCCACAGGGAGCATGGGATCCTGGGGACTGGGAAGCTGGCCTTGGTGGCCCCTTCAGCTTCTTTCCCTGCCCGTGCCAAACGGTGACACCCTCCCACCTCTGTCCTGCAGACCAACATCCCCTTCCTGCAGAATGTGCTCAACAACCAGCAGTTCCTGGGAGGCACCGTGGACACCCAGTTCATTGACGAGAACCCGGAGCTCTTCCAGCTGCGGCCCGCACAGAACCGGGCCCAGAAGCTGCTGTACTACCTTGGTCCGGCCCCAAGACTGCCCTGCCCTGCCCTGCCCTGCTCTCCTCTCCTCTCCTCCCCTCCCCTCCCCTCCCCTCCCCTCCCCTCCCCTGAGGCCTTGCTCCTGGCCTCCTGCCCTCAATCTGGTCTTCCTTTCCTTTGCCTTCCTGCCCAACCTCCTTGCTCAAGATTTTACAGACACCCCCTTCCCCTTTCTGTCTGCACGGTCCTCAATATGTCCTCACTGCCGGGCCCAGCAGGGCCTGGCTGTGGAGAGGACAGGGGCCAGCTGGAGCACTGGGGTCTTGGAGGAATCTCTCCACCCCAATCCCATCTACTCACTCCTGCTCCCAACTCACTGCCCAACCTGCCCTGACCCATTGTCCGCTCTCTACAGGACATGTCATGGTGAATGGCCCGACCACCCCAATCCCCGTTAAGGCTGACCCCAGCCCCACCGACCCCATTGTCCCTGTGGTGCCCATAGGTAAGTGAATTCAATTCTGCCAATTCATGGGGAGACAGGATGCCACCTGCAGGATGGGTACTAATGCCTGGTCTGCCCTAGGCCCGCCCCCGGCTGGTTTCAGAGATATCCTGCTGCGAGAGGGGCCCGAGGGCTTTGCTAAAGCCGTGCGGAACCACCAGGGGTTGCTGCTGATGGACACAACCTTCAGGGATGCCCACCAGTCCCTGCTGGCCACTCGTGTGCGAACCCATGACCTCAAGAAGATCTCCCCCTATGTTGCCCACAACTTCAACAAGCTTTTCAGCATAGAGAACTGGGGAGGTAGGCTGGGATATGGCACAGAACCTGACAGGAATGGGGCACCCGCAGTGTGTCAGGCCATTGGAGACACAAGAGAAGCTAGAAACACTAACATTGAGGGAACCAGTGAGAACTGAACAAGGCACGGTGTGTGTGTGTGTAGCAGACAGTGACTGGTGCCCACTCTCGCCAGGCTGAGGTCAGAGTGGTGGGGACAAGTTAATGACAGCAGAGAACTGGGGAGGAGCTGTCAGAGGAAGGACAGCCTGAACGACCCTAAGATCACGAAGGAGAGTCTGTGAGGGTCTTGGTGGGAACAGGAGGGACCCTGAGGTAGGGGCGGCATTGGGGCCAGAGCAGCAAGGTGTGGTGGGTCCCCAGGACATGGGCTGACCTGGGGCTGTGGTCCCTCTGCAGGAGCCACGTTCGATGTTGCCATGCGCTTCCTGTACGAGTGCCCTTGGCGGCGGCTGCAGGAGCTCCGGGAGCTCATCCCCAACATCCCGTTCCAGATGCTGCTGCGGGGGGCCAACGCCGTGGGCTACACCAACTACCCGGACAACGTGGTCCTCAAGTGAGCCTGGGGGGGCACTGGCACGGCCAGCAATGCCAGGCCACACGGCAATGGCCTCAACGGCCTGCACTCCCCACAGCAGACTCGGAGCCGAGATTCCCAGTAGCTGTGCCCAGAGAGGCCTGCTGTTTGGAAACGTGTGCCGCGTAGAATTGTAGCCGGAGACCTGGGCCGGCTTCTAGACTGTGGCACAGGGAGATCCCCAGCCGGCAGGTGGTGTAGAGCTGGGGCTGTTCAGTGCTTTCTCCCTCCGCCTGCCACTCCTTTGCAGAGAATCCCCGCTAATCCCTTTGACCTGGGCGCCAAGCTGCCCTGGAGGCCTTGTCCACCGTGTGGTGCCCACCCCTATTCTGTGGGGACCATGCCCTCTGCCAGGCCCAGCTCATTCCCTCGGACACCCATACCGGGCCAGGAACCAAAGATGTGAGGGGGCGAGGGAAAAGCAGGACGTGGTTAACCCCTGGACTCTTCCACGCACTCAGGTTCTGTGAGGTGGCCAAGGAGAATGGCATGGATGTCTTCCGGGTCTTTGACTCCCTCAACTACCTGCCCAACCTGTTGCTGGGCATGGAGGCAGTGGGCAGTGCCGGTGGTGTGGTAGAAGCCGCCATCTCTTACACTGGTGACGTGGCCGACCCCAGCCGCACCAAGTACTCGCTGCAGTATTACATGGATTTGGCTGAAGAGCTGGTGCGAGCTGGCACCCACATACTGTGCATTAAGGTGCCTGGGCCCGGCCCACCTACAGCAGTCTCCCCAGTCCCATCTCCCCTACCTCCTTGCTCTGTTTCCCAACACCCCCCCCCCCCCCCACCACCACCACGCACACATGGTGCCCACTTCTTACCATCACTTCCTGCTCTTTCCCCAGGACATGGCAGGGCTGCTGAAGCCCTCGGCCTGCACCATGCTGGTAGGCTCTCTCCGGGACCGCTTCCCTGACCTCCCGCTGCATATCCACACCCATGACACGTCAGGGGCAGGTGTGGCAGCCATGCTGGCCTGTGCCCAGGCTGGGGCTGATGTGGTGGACGTGGCATCTGATTCCATGTCAGGGATGACTTCACAGCCCAGTATGGGGGCTCTGGTGGCCTGTACCCGAGGGACTCCCCTGGACACAGGTAAGAACGGCAGCAGCCCATGGCCATTCCCCTCAAAGCCATAGCCTCCCCCAGCCCCAGGAGTCTGACCTATCCTAGACTCCACATGCTCTTGCCTGGCCTTGCTGTCCATCACTCCATTCTGAATGGACCTGAGCTGGCCCCGGGGTCCTGGGAGGAGCACCTGGGAGTTTAGCACATTTCCAACCCCTCCCTGCCTCTGGCTCCCTGCAGGGGTACCCCTGGAGCGCGTGTTTGACTACAGTGAGTACTGGGAGGGGGCCCGGGGACTGTATGCGGCCTTTGACTGCACGGCTACCATGAAGTCTGGCAACTCGGATGTGTATGAGAATGAGATTCCAGGGGGTCAGTACACCAACCTGCACTTCCAGGCACACAGCATGGGGCTTGGCTCCAAGTTCAAGGAAGTCAAGAAGGCCTACGTGGAGGCCAACCAGATGCTAGGTGACCTCATCAAGGTAAGCCAAGCCGTGTCCTTACCTGTGCTTCTGGGCTTCCGTAAGGTGCCTGGCATTCTGAGCCAAGGGCCTGTCTCCTCAGGTGACACCCTCCTCCAAAATCGTGGGCGATCTCGCCCAGTTCATGGTGCAGAATGGGCTGAGCCGGGCAGATGCTGAGGCCCAAGCAGAAGAGCTGTCCTTCCCGCGCTCTGTGGTGGAGTTCCTGCAGGGCTACATCGGCGTCCCCTACGGGGGGTTCCCTGAGCCCCTTCGCTCCAAGGTAGGGGAGGCCCAGCACAACGGGAGGTGGGACTGGGTACGAGAATCAGGTCTGATCCTCTGCTGTGCTCCCCAGGTGTTAAAGGACCTGCCGAGGGTGGAGGGGCGGCCTGGAGCCTCTCTCCCGCCCCTGGATCTGCAGGCGCTGGAGAAGGAACTGATAGAGCGGCACGGGGACGAGGTGACCCCCGAGGACGTGCTCTCGGCGGCCATGTACCCTGATGTCTTCAATACCTTCAAGGACTTCACTTCCACCTTTGGGCCTGTGGATAGCCTCAACACCCGCCTCTTCCTGCAGGGCCCCAAAATTGCAGAGGAGTTTGAGGTCAGTGGCTCTGGCACCTCGGACACTTCAGACTAGGAGCCCTGCCCTCCACCCTGCCGCCCCCCAGCAGGACCCCAGCACATCCAGAGTGCCAGACCGGCCTGGCTCTCACTGGGCCTTAGGAGACCAGGGCGCTAGGCCTTTGTTAGGAAGGAGGGGACTCAGGTGAGGGCTGTGTACGGGGGCTGCTCTCCCCATACTTGCCCCTTCAGCTTGGCTCCCACACCCTCCCTGCAGGTGGAACTGGAGAGGGGCAAGACACTGCACATCAAAGCCCTGGCCGTAAGTGACCTGAACTGGGCCGGCCAGAGGCAGGTCTTCTTTGAGCTCAACGGACAGCTGCGGTCCATTCTGGTCAAGGACACCGTGGCCATGAAGGTAAGGCCCCCTGGGCCAGCTTGGTGGTGGGGACGGGCAGGGCCTGGAGTTTCACGTCTCCTCTGCCGCCTGCAGGAGATGCACTTCCACCCCAAGGCCCTGAAGGATGTGAAGGGCCAGATCGGGGCACCCATGCCTGGGAAGATAATAGACATCAAGGTGGCAGCAGGAGACAAGGTGGCCAAAGGCCAGCCTCTTTGTGTGCTCAGCGCCATGAAGATGGAGACTGTGGTGACCTCACCCATCGAAGGCACGGTCCGCAAGGTCCATGTGACCTCAGACATGACACTGGAAGGGGATGACCTTATCCTGGAAATTGAGTGATGTTGCTGACTTGCAACCTGGCCATCCCCCTTCCCCACCCCCAGCCTCTATGGACGCTGTGCTGCCAGGGCAGGCCCAGCCAGCCAGAGCCTGAGTGCAAGAAGGCTTGGCCCTGGAGCTCCTGCCTCGCTGCTCCTAGCGGGAGACCATGACTGCGGTGGCCACCCCTTCTCCAGCCATCTGCCTTCTCCCTGTGGCGGACAGCAGCTCACGTATTCATCTCCTGCCAAATGAGGGTCCTACCCTTGCTGGAGACTAGAGGTGGCGGCACAGGTGGGCCTGGGATCCGGGAGAGCAGGTGTAGGGGTCCTACCTTGGAAAGGGGTTCTGGCCCCAGGTCCTGAGAACTTTGCTCAATAAAACTCTCACCTGCTCTCCATCGTGGGTCCTTTGCAGCCCACCCCGCATGCCACTCAGAGAGGGCACAGCTGCCCCTTGCCTCTCCCCAGGCCAGTTGTATGTTCTTCCTTGAGAGTAGTGAGGATAACAGTGGCCTTCATGTAAGCTACTACTGAGTACCTACTGTATACACCCCCCAAAATTACTGAGATCTTGGAGAGGGTGGAGAAGTGGGTCAGGTAATCAACTTTCACCCATTTTATGGACTCAGATGGAGTCATGGGAAGGACCCCACAGCCAGGAAGAGGCAGAGGGCTCAAGGGCTCAAACCTAAGCTGCCAGTGAACTTGCTTCCCAACCAACCTGGGCCCACCTCACCCCCATTCTTTTAGGACTGGATGCAAACAGGCACCAGTTCTGGGAAGCAGGTGAGAGCCTCAGTATAGGAGCCTGGGGGTATGAGGATTTTAGTGGGAGGCTGGGAGCACTCGATGGAGATTCTCGGGATTTAATCCTGCCCATCCCCCATCATTAGCTCTCAGGAGAACGCGATCCTGAGCCCGTTCCCCACCAGCAGGGTGAAACAGTAACCCTGCCTGTGCCACTGCACTGCTGCCACTGCATAGGGAGATGAGGATGGTGGGGTGGGGGGCAGTTCCTGAGCAGAAACAAGAGTATGAGGTAGGGCAGAACCTAGATACCCTGACTGCCAGGACCCTGCACCCTGCCAGCCAAGTGCTCCCAGGGCATTATAATCTAACCTTTGGCATGGGCCTGGGCTTCCTCCTCCTTGGTCTCCAAGACTCCAAAGGTACCCTGTGAACAGGTTTGCTCACTTCTTCTGCCTCCAACAGCTGCTGCACAGAGCTGTCCGCAAGGTAGGTGTCAGCCACAGCCAGCCTAAGGGCGCCATGAGTAGTGACTGCACACCGATTCCTTCCTTCAACCGCCAGCCTTGGAGAATGGGACCTGAAAGCCATTCTGAAAACAAGAGGAAGAGCAGAGAACAGCAGGTCCTAAGGACCTTGGATTACAGTGCTCTCCTCAAGGCCTTTGTTCCGGTTCCTCCAGGGACAGGCAGGCAGCATGGTGGCAGAGGTCCAAGGGGGAGACAACTAGAACAGCCTCTACTTCCATGTCCTCTGAGCTGGTCCTTCAACGCTTTGGGTCTATTTGCTCTCACATAATCGAGGCTGATAAACTTTGGGGAGATCCTGGTGGAGGTGACAAAAGCTGGAGGCGCTCTCACTGGGGTCAGGGCGCAGGGTCCCCCTCTCTGGTGGCCAGGTCACGGGCCCACACCGGGTACCTCCAGTCCCAGATCCACCTCTGCTAGGACCTGGGCCTGGCTCAGTAAGAAGGAAGCTATGAGACCCAAGTCAGACAGTGGTCCCCATCCTGTCCCCTCCTGCAGGGAACTGTCCCTACCAAGACTCCAAACAGACTAATTCCCAAAGGTCCAAGGCCATGTTACCCAAGTTAAATCTCTTTAATATCCCAATACAAAGTCCTGATGCAAAAAGACGGTGAGAAAACCCTGGGAAGAAGTTGGGGGAGAAGGGGTTCTGGAAAGTCTATCCCTCAGCAGCTTTTCAGGGACAGGAGCTGAGAGAAGCAGCAGTCCACAGTGAGGGAGGAGTGCACAGCTCCTGGGCCTGCTCCTCCCTCCCCTTCCAGAGGGGCCGCAGCCTTTGGCCATCTGCTCCTTTCTCTTGGTCCCTGGGATTTAACTAGCTCTGGCTTCAATCCCCTACAAAAATTCCTGAGATCTCGGGACCCCAGCCAGCTCCTCCCCTGCAGGACCCCTTGGTGGGGAGGACTGAGGAGCCATGAGAGTTCATAGGAGCACAGAAGCATGGGTCAGGAGCACAGAGGAGCCTCTGAGTCCCCTGCCTGCTCCAAAAGCACGCACAGGGGAAGACTGCCGTAGAGCTTCGGGTCCGTGAGGGGCTGGAGTAGCAGCAGGAAGAGTCCTACACCCAGGGCATAGCCTGCCAGCAGGGGCCGCCTCTGTGGATGCTCCAGGGCTGCGCACACAGCGGGGAAACCCATGTAATTGCAGAAGGAGTGGCAGAGAACCGGCCCAATCAGGTGTCCTGGGGAGGAGAGAGCACAGCTCTAGAGGAGCCCCACCACATCCTCGGGTAATTACCCTCGTCCCCTGGATCAGTGTCCCCGTCTGCCCACGCACATGGCCTCTGCCTGCTCCCACCTCTCACACCTCGCCAGGCTGAGGGCCCTGCCTTAGCCTGTCTCAAGGACTATGGTTAAAAAAAAAAAAAAAAGGTGCTCATAAAACACAGTTTCCCCACCTACTCCTATCGGCCCCTGAACACCTGGGCATCGTGAGGGACGAGGACCAACCTGTACGGATGAAGAGGAAAGCGGTGTAGGCACCGAAGACAGCTGTGTAGGAGAACTGGAACGCTGGAGACAGGGAGGCCAGGAGTGACCACACTTGCATGCCCTTCTTCCCAGCACTGTACACCCGTCAGCCAGCGATATCCGCTCCCCGCTGGGCAGTGACTCCCTACCCAGCACCTCTAGCTGTGCTCTACACCCCAAATCCTGCCCTCCGACATGATAGCCCTCTGTTCCCAATTCTTTCATATGGCTAATTACCCGAGGCACACTCTATAGGACTCACCTGCAGACAAGAAGATGCTCCCCACACTGCTCTGACGGAATCGAAGCTGCTCAAAAATGTGGTGAAAATGGGCTGGGAAGAAGGCAAGAACCACATCACATTGCTCTCAGCCTGCCCTCTGTGCCTCACCGTTGCCCCAAGCCCCGTTCTCAGCTCTCATGCTAGGAACATGTCAGAGGACCAGGTTGCACACTCACCAACTCCAAAAAACAGTGGGCAGGTGAACACGGCAGGGCCCAGGCCTGTACACGGTGCTAACATGGGCAGCATGCAGGCCCGGAACACCAGCTCCTCTGTAAGGGGCGCAATCACTTGGTTCCGAAGCCAACGCATGTCCATGAGGCAGCGGGCCCAGGAGCGAGGGGCTAGGGAGGGGATTCAAGAGCAGCAATGAGCGGCTAGCTATTGAAGAGACCCCAGAGGCCTCCCACAATCTCCTGGCCAAACTCCGGTTAGGCATTCACTGTGTTTATCAGCAGAAGACAATGTCTCAAGAAGACAATGGGAAGGCTGGGGTAGGATATCTGGATCATAAAATCTGCCCAAGACCAGCTCTGGCTTGGAGAAGCCAAAGGTTAGGGGAAATAGAAATGCTCTCTAGTCCACACCAAACACACTTTGAGGTCCCTGGGAGGATCCCTAGACATCAGGAACCAACTCTGAGAGGCCGCCTGCTCTACGTTCCCGTCTTACTGATGAGGAAATACAAAACATCGCACATCTCACGTTCAGGTCCTGGACTGCCTGCTTCTTCCCTTAGCCCTAAGGACTCACTCACCTAAGACAACCTTTAACCCATCTGCCAGGTCACAGGGGCAGTCCATTGAGAGCTGCATCAGTGGGCCCAGAAAAAGGATCTGGAGACACAAAAACAGCAATCAAATGAAAGACTTCAACTATAATCCGCTGCTTTTGCCCAGAGAAGGCCTCAAGTTTCCTAATCTCAGCAGGGCTTTCCCCACCAACGCATACCCGAGGACCTGGAGCCATCTCACAACTCCTGTCTCCCATTAGGCACAAACGGACAAGCAGGATGAGTAAAACAGGTCACAGAAAGGGGCGTCATGCTCGCACACAGACAGAGGAGCAGAGATAGTGGAGGACTCACCATGGTCAGCAGCAGGGGCAGCAGTGCTGCCGGGAAAATGCCCTCCAGCCTGAAGCCCATCAGCGTGAGCAGGGATGTGCCTGGCTGAGCCACAGGAAAGGAAGCATCAGTCTTGCTCCCCCCAAAGACCCCGGAGCGCTCTCCCCTGCTGCCCTCTGCCCCGCCTCCTTTGCACCTGGATGCCTGTGAGTTCCCTCCAGAGGAGCACGCAGAGGGGCGAGAGACTGGACACCACTAGGACACTGGTGAAGCGCCGCTTGATGACGGCAGGGTGGTCCCTACGGAGGGGCATAAGTTCAGGGGCCCAAGTCGCCCCCCGCCAGCGCAACCCCGCCCCCACTGTCCAAGCTCCGCCTGCAGCCCCTCGCGGAGGCGCGGTCCGCGCGCGCAGCCCCGCACCTGGGCAGCTCGCTCTTCCAGACGTAGAGGCTGCCCACGTAGGAGCAGGCGAGGCTGAGGCAGGAGAACACGGACACCCAGCAGCACAGCCCGGGGCCCGGGCCCCCCAGGGCCGCCGACTCGGGCTGCCGCTCGGGTCGCGACACCGACAGCAGACGCAACCCGTCCCCGCCCAGCGCCGCCATCGCGCCCGGACCGGCGCGCACCAGTGACGCACGCTGTCGGCGCGCCTGCGGGCGGCCCCGGGACGTCATCGGACGGCGCGGCCCGCGGCGCCCTCCCAGGAAGCAGACGGAGCTCGGGAGCAGGTTTATTGAACAGGCCGCACGCGTCCGCCGCGCTCCCCGGCGGTGCGGGGCGGGAGGCGGGCTCAGGGGCCGGGCCGCAGCCACTCGGCCAGATTGGAGACTTCCTGCAGCCACAGTGCGTCCTGGGGAGCAGGGGCCCGGGGTGAGGACGCCTCGGCGGCGGGTCCCCGTCCTCCCTGCGCTGCCCTCATGACCTCCGGGCAGTTCCCGGTCCCGGGGCCCGCCCTGCTTCCGCTCGGAGTCACGGAGGCCGCGGGGGGCTCCCCACGGCGCAGAGGCGCCTCGGACGGGCTCGGGGCCCCGGCCGAGCGGAAAGCCCGTGTTCCCTCCGCGGCCGGGGGGAGGCTGCCCTTAAGCTTCTTGTTGGCCGCTAGCCCGCTGGTCCCTAGGAGAGAACGCACACTCAGCCCTGGGCCTGTGCCGGACAGGACCCTCAGGGGAATCCGGGAGGGAGGGAGGGAGGAGCCGGGCGGCTCATCTGCTCCCCCTCAGAACCGTCCTGACCCAAACCCACAGCCCCGGGCCTTCAGGCACAGGCCGAGGCTGCAGAATGGCGTCACGTCTCTGTCCCGGCTCCGCTAAGCTGAGCAGGGGCATGTGGATTGTACCAAGCCCTCACTTGGGACTCTGGTCCACTGGATCACTGCAGATTCTTTCCAGCTCCGCCCTCCCTGCCAGGCTCCGATTGCCCTGCCCGAAATCTGACCTCACTTCTCAGCGAATTGGGCAGTGCCAATAGGCAGCCTTGCTATTGATTGATTCACTGTTTTGTCCGACAATGCATCCCCATCAGACACAGATGCGCCAGGTTGCCTGGGTTAGATTTCTGGCTCTGCCATTTACTAACTGTGTGACCTCAAGTAAGTTTATTAACAACTGGGCCTCGATTTCCTCATCTGTAACATGAGAAAATAATAGTACCTATACCTCAGTATTATTTTGAGAAGAGCATTTATACATTTTAAAAATTCAGAACAGTGCCTGGCACCTGCACCATACAGGCTCAGGCACCTGAGTGTCTGGTTATTTCCAGTCTGTGGTTATTTACATGTTTACATCCCTGGTCCTGCAGTATGATCACCACCACATCACATACACTGACACCTCCCCACAACCCGGAGCAGCCTCCAGAGCCCCAAACAGATTGGTAACCAGAACGAAGGAGTGAGCATCAATGCTAAAAATCAAAAGAATGAACACACTGGATTCAGGGCCCCATCCCATCATGCACATCTAACTACACAAACGGAACTTTCTAGTCCTATCATATCCGCTTTTGAGATGGAATGCCTCCTCCTGCCTCTGAACACCCAAAGTAGTGGTGAGAGCCAACCACATCCCAGCCAGACTGCTACGGGGGAAGGTGCAGTTTGAAAGCCTGTAAGTGATGCTTTTTACATCCCAGCTTTGATGCAGAGCTGACTGAAAAGCTGAAGCTTACCTGCATGGAGCTCCAGGCTGCTGTCCTGTGCATCCTCTGCGCTCTCCTCTGGGTCGTTTTTCTCTGGGTGCAGGTGCTTAAAAAATTAGAAGTCCTAAGTTAGTTTTGCAGAAGGCACCTGTGAATCCTCCTTCCCAGCCTCCAACTTCACGGTTCCTTTTGCTAGAGCCTTTGCAGCTTACCCAGCATTCCCTACTCCTCTGACTGGTCACTCTCTACTGTCTGCCCCCTCAGACTGCAATATCTACTGCATGCCCCGGTTCATTATTTTATATGTCGATGGCCATTTTTCTCTGTCACAAACTCTTTGATAGGTAAGGTTCATCATGCTTACATCTCTTTATATCTAGCATAGTACCTTGCACGGGTAAATGCTCAAATATGACTGACCACAGGGCAGGTTTTATAGTCCTCAGTAGCCTTTCAAAGCCCTGCCACATTTGGTTCAATTTGGACAGAGGAACAAAGATACTAAGATCAGAACCCAATTCTAGCTCCTTGTTTTTCAAGAATACAAGTGTATGAAAATAGATAACCTCTTCAAAGTTTAAAATTTTTGTGCTTCAAAAGACATTACAGAAAGTGCAAAGTCAACACAAGAATGGAAAAAATATTTGCAAATCATATCTGATAAAGTATTTGTATCAAGAATAAAGAACTCATATAACTCAGCAATAAAATAATAATCCAATTAAAAAATGGTTTAACAAAGGAATTGAATGACATTTCTCCAAAGAGGGACATATGCCCAATATACACATGAAGGATGATTAACATCATTAGTCATTACAGACATGCAAATCAAAACCACTATTAGATACTACTTTACACCCATTATCGTGATGATAATAATAGGAGACAATAACAAGTATTGGTGAGGATATGGGGAAATTGTAACCATTATATAATATTGGTGGGAGAGTAAATGATGCAGCTGGTTTGGAAGTTCCTCAAAAAGTTAAATATAGAGTTATGACCCAGCAATTTTACTAGATATATACCCAAAAGAATTACAAACATATCCACACAAATGTTCATAGAATTATTCACAATAGCCAAAAAGTGGAAACACAAATGTCCACCAACTGATAAAGAGAGGAATAAAATGTGGCACTTATCTATGGCTTCATTTTCTGTGGTTTCAGTTACCCATGGTCAATCTCAGTCCAAAAATATTAAATGGAAAATTCCATAAATAAGCAATTCATAAATTTTAAATTGCACACCACTCTGAGTACTGTGATGAAATCTCATGCTGTCCCACTCCATCCCACTTAGGACATGAACCCTCCCTTTGTCCAGCGTATCCACACTGTACACACTCCCTGTCTGTTAGTGGCCATCTCGGTTATCAGATTGACTGTTGGTGTATCACAGTGCTTGTGTGAAAATGTTAATTCATTTAAATGAAAAGGTATGCATGTATAGAGAAAAACATAATATTTATAGGGCTCGGTTTTATTCCCGGTTTCATGCATCCACTGGGAGTCTTTGAATGTATCCCCTGCAGATACGGGATACACTGTACATCCATACAATGAAATAGTATCTATATATATAAAAGCCTAAGAGATTGTTTGACTGTTTCACCAGTAGCATGAAATGCACTGACCACTAGGGAGCAGACGCTCTGATGGGTAGGTTAGCTTGCTGCTGGGATCCAGCCAATCGAGACTGGGCGAGAGGGACTGAACACGCCTTGGACAAATCCAGGTCCACTGGTGCAAGAATCCATGCACTGGGCCTCTAGTCCAACCATATAAAGGAATGAAGTACTGTTGCATGTTATAACATGGATGAATCTTGAAAGCATTATGCTAAATGAAATAAGTCAGATACAAAAGACCACTTATGGCACTATATGTTCAGTTTATATAAAATTCCCAGAATAGGGAGCGGCCAGACCCGGGGGAGCAGGCGGGTCGGGTGCGGCCAGGCCCGGAGCAGCGGCTGCCAGGCTGGGAGCGGCCAGGCCCGGGGGAGCAGCAGCCAAGTCCAGAGCAACTAGGTCGGGAGCGGCAGTGAGCAGACCCGGAGCAGCTGGTTGTGGAACGAACCAGAGCAACAGAGGCCAGGCCCTGAGCAGCCAGGCCCGGAACAGCTCGCTCCTCGCCTGCCCCTGCCCCACGGCTGCTTCTCAGACATGGCTGGAAACTTTCGCAGGAACTTGAGGGTCTGCTGAATCAAGTGATGAAGGCTTAGATCTGGATGTGTTGAGTTAGTTTAGGACTGGGGTGTTGATCTGTGAGTGCCTTGGGTGGGGCCTGGATGAGGCTGGTGGACCTATTGGGAAATGTCTTTTGTGTGAAGTGTATCATTGGGCATGTGGAGGTATTATTGATTTGAGAAAATGCTAAGTAACTGATTTACTATCTGAAAAGGGATTTACTGTTGGGGAAAGGGAGGGAAGAAGAGACTGAACATAAACTGCACCTATGGATGAGGACAATGGGGGATGGGGAGGGGTCAGAGGGTGGGGTGGGAACCTGGTGGAGGGGGGAAGAAATGAGGAACCTTTCTAATAATATGAACAATAAAGATTGATTTTAAAAAAATAAAAATAAAATAAAATTCCCAGAATAAATCCATAGAGATGGAAAGTAGAATAGTGGTTACCAAGGAATGGGAACAGGAGAATTTGGTACTGGCTGCAAATTAGGTACAGGTTTTCTTTTAGGCATGATGGAGTTATTCTTGAATTTAGTGGTGATGATTGCACAAATAGTAAATATACTTAAAACCACTGAATTGTATAATTTAAAATGGTAAAATTTGTGGTACATGAAATATAATGTAATAAAAATAAATACTCTATCATACTATTTACTAAAATAAGTTTCCATTTCTAAGTAATTACATCCCAGGGAACATAGAAGGGGTAATGGTAGACCCAAAGATGTGAAAAAAGAAATAGCATTAGGAAATTTTCCAAACATTTCCCCCTTCCAGCTAGTCTCCATCCCCCACATTTTTTCTTGAAAGTTTATTCTTTTATTTCTCTCTAGCCTAGAAAATCTCATATAATAGATAAACCTCCTATCTTGATATTGGTCTACAAGGAAATACCCACATTCAGATTAAAGCACTAAGGCTCATCATCAGGTTCCCCAGATCAGACAGACCTGGCTATCCTGGGACACGCCTCCTTGGATTTAACACTTAGTTTTGCTCTCCCCTCACCCCACCCAAATTACAATACTTTTCCTTAGAAAGCTGTGTTCGTTATTGATCCTGCTTGAGTTTAAGTTTTCAGTTCCTACATACATCTGCAACAGGAAGGCTGGAGCGCTGTCTCACTGACCGCTTCATAGCCCACTGTCTGCTGTTTTAATACCCAAGCTGAAAATCTCCATTCCTGGCATAACCTTTCCCGGCATATATTCTAGAAAACTCTAAAAATATATCCTTTCATTTCTTCCTCCATAAGCTATATAAT